CAGTTAAATTAAAGATTCTTGTGTGATGATGATTAGCAGGAAGGATTCAAGGATGCAATAGAGAGACCATTTATATCTATGAAATAAACATTTAGTTTAGACACTTGTAGAAAAATATATACTATTAACTTTATAAGTTGCTAAAATATCTTAAAGTGAAAGTTATGGCTCACTAATAGAATAGAATGAGTTGTAATTTTAACATTAAAATGTTATGTTATGATCTGTGATATACTACTTTAAAATATAACCAGTTTTATGTACATTCATCATTACTTTATTTTTCCTCTGCTCACTTATGAAGTTGTTAGGAGGCAAAGGGCCTGTCCTTTGTGTGCAGTGATTGTATTATACAGTACTTAGTGCAGGGATAAGTAGGCATGAGTACTGAATCAACATCATTTGAAAAGCATTACCTTTATTGTACAGTTTTTTTTCAGAATTATAATTATTTTTGTTTGTTCACAACAGAAGAGGTTGTTTGTAGGGATATATATTGGGCTATATCGAATTGTTAAAGAGGATGCTGCTGTTTGATACCTTATGCTTTTTGTTTTAGCTTATCTATTTTAGGCAAGGACATGAAGCTTATGTGCGGGCTGTAAGGAAATCAAAAACATACAGTGTTAATTTACAAAAGCAACCATGGAACAAAATGGACCTCAGGGTAAGTTTGCCAGTTTGGCAAGCTATGCCACTGAAGTTGCTTTGGAATTAAGCTACTTGACTATAGGAGTTTTCTCAGTTCCATGCATATGAAACTGCTGATTGTGCATCCAAGATAAGGTGATGTATAATGCTTTCATAAAACTGAGTATTATGGATAACATTTCATAGTTTTTCTGAATTTATATGCTGTATATTGTCTTGATTATTTTACCAAATTTCCTTCAAGCTTCAGGTCCTCTAGTCTATACCATTTTGTAAATAGAGCAAAGCAGGTCTGGATATTTTCCTGTCAGCAACTTTGTACATTCCAAAGGCTCCAGAACTGTCTGGATGTGTGAACTACAAACACATTCAAGGCTCTGTCAGCTTTTGGGTACATTAAATGTCATAAATCCTAAGAAACTCAGAAGCTTTATGGAATATCTCTTGACATCATTCCTATATAGCTTCTTCTTATTCTGTTAGCTAGACAGATACATATATTTTTTTGGAGAAGGATTTTCTATTTGTAAATACACATTAATTCCTATTTCTAAGGGCAAATTTATGATGGTTTTCAGGTAAATGAAAAGTTTTTGTGTGGTGATGATGAGCAGGAAGAATTCAAGAATAAGAGAGACCATTTATATGTATGAAATAAACAGTTTAGACACTTGTAGACAAATACATACTATTAAGTTTATAAGTTGCTAAAATAACTTAAAGTGAAAGTCATGGCTCACTAATAGAACAAATGACAACCATCTATTCTGTATCAGATAGAGGTTAGTTCTTTTTTAGAATGAGGGGAATGAATAAAACACATGGTTTCTTATTTTTAATTCTAACCCTGTGGTTTTAGAAAATGGTAGGAAGCAGTATGTGTGTGGTGCAAGAGCCTGGGCTTTGGAATCAGACCTGGATTTGAATCCCAATTCCACTGTAAGCTAGTGTATAATTTTAAGCAAGTTACTGTATGTCTGTGGCTCGATTTTGTCATCTGTTAAATATGATTAATGATAAAATGTGCAAGGATGTTGTAAGATATTGTAGACATTCAAAATTTTAAATCTGCTCCCCAGACACAAAAATGTACACCTGCATGCTCACATACTTTATTTCTGCTAGCAGAACAATTCTTAACCAGGCAGAGCATCATAATCCCCTGTAGTGTTTCCTCTAAATATATATGATTGAGCATTACACCAGATGTGTACTGTATTAGATTCTAAAGTAGTAGAGTTAAGGAACATGAATTTTAAAATAAGTTTTTTTCTTTGCTTCTTATCTTTGGTTTTGAGACCTCATTACATAAGCAACAACCTCCTATTAACTGCCAGGAGCCATGTCTTATTACCATTTACACTTAGTATAGTGTCCAGCAGTTAGTAGGCATTCAGATAATTTTTATATTGTTTAAATAATAATGAATTATAATGTAGATGTTAGGCATTTTATTTTGAAAATAATAATATATTTCTCTTCTAATGAATAGGAACAAGAGTTTGTTAAGATTGTAGGAATCAAATATGAAGTTGGACCACCTACATTATGCTGCTTGAAACTTGCATTTCTGGACCCCATTTCAGGCAAAATGACTGGGGAATCTTTTTCCATTAAGTGAGTAGCTTTCTCTGGCTCTTTCTGTGTGTGAATTTTGCAGAGTACAGGGTTCTGTGTGAATACTACAGTGTTTAGAGTTATAAAGACCAAGGTTTAATTTTTGGATTCTCCATATAAATACCAAGTTATTTAACTCCTCAATCTATGTTTTCATCTGTAAAATGGAATGGAGATCTAATAGCTTCCTCAGGATTATTGTGAGGAATAAAAGAGAAATCTTTATAAAGCACCTAGTTATTACTGTTATTAGGTGACATCAAATTGACTCTGACTCAGTGACCACATGTACAACAAAACGAAACACTACCCTCTCCTGTGCCATTCTCACAACACTTGGCTGTGCTTGAGCTCATTTTTGTATAGCCATCTGTCAATTCATCTCGTTGAGGGTCTTCCCTTTTTTCACTGACCTTCTACTGAGCATGATGCCCATCTCCAGGCAGTAGTCCTAGTGCCTGGTAGCATGCATGAAACATGGTAGTTGCTTTTATTTCAGTTAGTAATAATAAGTAAATGACACCTTTCTTGTAGTTGAATTTGAAATCTAGGGAGGTAAAAGAACATCAATTAATACCCTTCTTTAAAAGCCCTTAATATAAAATATATTAAGCTTTAAGAATCTTCATTGGCATTCTTACATTATTAAAGTGGTACCATCGTAGGCAGGGCACTCAGAAACAGATCATAGCAGATGAGATTTAATTTAAGACATTTCTAGAGAGTTTTGCAGTATTTTGCCTCATGACTCCACATTTAAACATATGTCTTTGGGTATTTGGTAATATATAATTTGTGTTGATTGACATGTGCTTTATTTTCTGCATAGGTATCATGACATGCCAGATGTCATTGACTTTCTTGTGCTACATCAGTTTTACAATGAAGCCAAAGAAAGGAACTGGCAGATTGGTAAATACAGAATTGTTCCTTAGCAACTGTTAAATAACTGTTCAGTTTAAAGTAGATCAACTCTTTTATTCCCATTTTTTTTTAAAAAAATAGTTTAACAGGGAGTTAGAAAAAGCGATCAGCCAAATTACAAAAATTGAATTGAATTTTCTTTTTAGTTATGTTTTAGGCAATTGTATGTACATTATGTGTAGCACGTAACCTTTAATCTTTCTAAAGATACCTCTACTCTACTAGAATACAAATCTGAATAGACCTCAAATAGAGCACTTTGTACTTGAGTTCTTAAACAGACCATTACTGGTTATAGTTTTCTTTCCTTTCTTTCATTAATTTGTTTATTCATTCATTCGTTCATTCTTCTTACCTTCCTTCCTCCCTTTTCCCCATCCTTACCTTCATTTTCTGCCTTCCCCTCCCTTTCCTGCTCCCTTTGCCCCCATTCCTCACCTTCCTCCCTTCCCTGTTCCCCTCCTGTAACACCTCCTTCCCCCTCCCTTCTGTCCTTGATTTAGAGCCCTGCATCAAATAAACTACAACATCTCTTGTTTTTTCTTTTTTCCTTTCCTTCCCTCTCTTCCCCAAAAGCAATTTAACACTAATGTGGGGTGTGTGGGGGAATTAAAGAAACTTGCCTATATATGATCATAATATATAACGTAAGGATTTTGAAATTATAGACAATTATAAACAATTTTTTACACATTCACTTACATATGCCTGGGTTTTTTTAATTATTTATATCCATAGCAAATACATTATTTTAAAAGTATGAGGCCTTATAGCTTGACGTTGAATCCTTACTCTGTTGTGATTTGATCTTGAGCAAGTTTGTTAACTTCTTTGTGCCTCACTTCCCTCATCTATAGAATGGGGATCATGACATGAGGAGTAAATGAGATAATATATTTTTTAAAAAAACATCAAGCACATAAAATCGTACCTGGCAAATAGTAAGCACTATGAAAATGTTTGTTTTTAATATTAAAAAAATTATTTCTAATATATAAGAAGCATTTTTGTCTATGATGGTTTGGTTTTGTAATCTTTAGGCATTTGGAGGCAGAAAACTAGTATGTATGTAAAGATTTTTAAAGGTTTAAAGTTAAAAGCAAAAAAGAAAAAGAAGAAACACTTTATTTAAGCAGTCATAGAGATAATGATTTATTTCAGAAAGATTCCTACCACGTGAAAATCAAATGCTTGAAGAGGGTAAAATGTAAAATTAACTTATCTGAAAAACTTAAATTGAAACCTCTGTACAGTGCTACTTGTATATTCAATGAAAGCTAGCAATTTAGAGTTGGGGCAGAGCTAACATTCTCAAGAGTACCCTTTTAAGAATTTTTAAAAATATTATAGGTGATAGATTCCGCAGTATAATAGATGACGCCTGGTGGTTTGGGACTGTGGAGAGTCAGCAGCCTTTTCAACCAGAGTATCCTGATAGTTCTTTCCAGTGTTACAGTGTCCAGTAAGTATGGTTATGGTCTTTTAAACCTGATATAATACTGTAGTAGAATATGGACTTTCTATAAACCTCACCAGAAATACCTTTTATTTGATTTACCTAGTCTCATAAAGTACATGTAAGTAAGAAATTTGATGATAACTCTTTTAGTCCAATAAAGCATGCTAAAACAAAGCAGGAACTAAAAGACTGATCTCTAATTTCCTTATCTCCTATTTTCTTTTAAGAATTCCTGCTTTGGAAAAGAATTGCAACTTTTTTTTCAGAGAATACTGAAATTAATTCTGTTTAAAGTAATTATTACAAGTCTTTAATGGTATAAATTCTACACAGAGGTGATTGAATTATGATTATGGGAGCTATTATTTCTTCACAACATTTACTTTAATTCTTTGTGAAATTCCAGAGTTGTAAGATTCCTAATGAATAAGAATGATAGAAGAAATGCTGATTCTGGGAAGATTGACTTTTAGTCTCTATATTACAGACCAAAAGGAAATAATAAAAATTTTAGAGGGTCTTTAATACTTAAGCTATTAGAATAAAATAGATAATTTCACAAAAGTAATCTGTTAATTGGCTTTCTTTATCTGAAAGATATTTCCAAAAATATCTTATTTATTGTTTTCGCTGCCCTCATATTGGATATATGCATTGTTGGGAGGGAGAGTAAACCAGACAGTAGGCATACTGTCCTCTCAGTTTCATTTTGATAAACCTTGTTTTCTTTGTTTGAGGTTATTATCTTTATGTAAGTCAAATTATAATTTAAAGACAAAACAGTATTTCCCTTTTCCAAATTTTATCCAAATTATGCTAGAATATAGAAGTGTTATGTGAATTTGATTTGCATCTTTTTTATTTTTTAATAGCTGGGACAATAATGAGAGAGAAAAAATGAGCCCCTGGGACATGGAGCCAATTCCAGAAGGAAGTAAATATACTTTTCAAAATGAATTACAAGTCTTCTAAAAGTAAAATGATAAAAGCATGACATTGGAAGCTAATTATTTCTGATTTTTCATCATATATATAGCTGCCTTTCCAGATGAAGTTGGTGCTGGTGTTCCCGTGTCCCAGGAGGAACTTACTGCTTTGCTGTACAAACCCCAAGAAGGAGAGTGGGGGGCTCATTCCAGAGATGAGGAATGTGAACGGGTTATTCAGGGCATCAACCACCTTCTTTCCCTGGGTATGATGAATGTGGAAGAATATTGTTAGGAAAATCGAATGGAGCTGGGGTACCAGCAGAATTTTAAGTTCTTTAAAAGGAAATGCATTTTCTTAACTGTGCACATCACTTTTAACTGAAGAATCACAATTACTAGTTTTAGTGTTAACATATTTATATGCTTGGCCAAAGTAATGAGCGATAAACTTTTTAACATTCTGGGGACTCATAGTGAAGGTGAGAATAAAAGTCATTTTGGTTCTCTAGCTATTCCCTGAGCCTTACTTTGGTTGGATTCCTTAGTTAAGACAGTGGGTGAGTAATGTATCTTAATCACAGTAGTAAGGAGCCCCGGTGGTGCAATAGTTAAGTGCTTAGCTGTTAATTGATAGGTCATTGGTTGAAACCCATCAACTGCTCTGCGGGATAAAGATGTGGCAGTCTGCTTCCATAAAGATTACAGCCTTGGAAACCCTCTGGGGCACTTCTACTCTGTCCTGTAAAGTCACTATGAGTCAGAATCAACTCGATGGCACACAACAACACTAATCACTATAATAGTTATGTTTCCTGAAACATAGCACTTGAGAAATTTGGCATTTATTCAGAAAAGACATATAAATCTGAAGTTAAACACAGTGCTTCTTTGAATTTGTTTCATTTTACTAAATTTGAATCCAGTGTGTCATGCATGATTCATAACATTAAGACAATTTTGGAGTGAGACTACATGTACACATAATGTTGAATGAAAACAATCTCTTAAAATAAAAAAATTAAAAATAAACAGAAAAACACAATTTTGGTCTAGTACTTGAATAATGGACTGTTATCATTTTAGAAATGTGGGGAGAGTAATACCTCTCCCTTCTTGCTTATGTATTAATTAGGCTTTGTTAACATGAAATGTTAATTTCCTTTGTAACTGCTTATTTTTATTTTGGTAATTTTGTAGATTTTGCCAGCCCTTTTGCTATTCCAGTGGATCTCAGTGCCTACCCCTTGTATTGTACTGTAGTTGCTTATCCAACTGACCTCAACACCATCAGGCGAAGACTTGAAAACCGCTTTTACAGGTCTCTCTAGTTTTACTATTTATTACAAAATTCATAGTTTTATGTCTTTTGCTTTCCTTTTAGTATGATGATATACTGAGATCTCTGTTTTCCTAGTGTAAATAATCATTCAAAAGACTCATACCAAAATTTCTTCTAAAAATTTGAAACTTAGATTTCCCTTTATTCAATATATTCTCAGTCTTCCAGGGTGAAAAAGGTGATAGTGAAAGAAGGACAGGAAGTAAATAATTGATAGCATAAATTACATATAAAAGAAAACTGCAGTTAACTTTTGTTATTAAAGGCAGATTACGTGGTTTTTGGGTTCATCATGATTAAGGTGCTACTGAGACTTGGAGCATGTTTATATCACTCTGTTGGGGACTCAGCAATTAATGACTTAATTACCAACTGTGTATAGGAAAATAGCCAAGTTATTTTTTGCTTTGTTTTGATTTTGTTTATTAGTTGGAAATGATTGTGGAGGACTAGGTAGGGCAAAGGAACGTGGGTGGTGGAGTGGTTAAATCATCTGGCTGCTACGGTTTGAGCCCTCCATTTCGTCCGCTGAAGAAAGATGAGACAGTCCAGTTCTGGGAATATTTACAGCCTTAAAAATCCTACTGGACAATTCTACTCTGTCCTGTAGCATTGCTATGAGTTCGAATCAATTCACTGACAAAAGTGGGATGGAGGGCAGCTTTTGGTTCCTTTCTCATCCCAGGGTGCACTGTATCCTAACCACAGTAATTCCATGAACTGGTTAACTTGCCTTTTGTAATTAAGAATTAAATGTATTTTTATAACAGCATTATTTTATTTTATTCAATAATACATATCATAAAGGAGCTCTGGTGGCATATTGCCTAAGGCATTTGACTGCTAACCAGTAGATTAGCAGTTCAAACCCACCAGCCACTCCTTGGAAGGAAGATTGGGCAATCTACTTCAGTAGTGATACCACCTTAGAAACCCAAGGAGGGGTCGCTATGAGTCGGAACTGACTCAACGACAGTGAGTTTGTTTGTTTTAATATATATCATAACAGTAACTCGACAAAATATGCTATTTTCTACAATCTGTATTTTTCCTTGCTATTCTTATCTCTTCCCCTGAAAACGCAACATTCTCTTGACCTTATCAAAACACTTTATTTTTGCTTTTTTTTTTTTATTTTTTGTCAAATCCCTATTTACCCATAATATTCTGGATATTATAAGTTTTAATACACAGTTCAGTAATTCTAAATTCTTGCCTGTTGCTTCAAGTACTGTGACTATGTCATCTCTTTTTTTGTGTGCATGTCAGTAAATACATACATTGGAAAACTTTTGACATATGATAAATACCTAATTGTTCTATGTTGTATATCACTAGAATATACTTTAAAGGTATCAGCCAAGACTAACAGAGTTTTTTTTCTTTCTTAGGAGAATATCAGCATTAATGTGGGAAGTACGCTACATTGAGCATAATGCTAGGACTTTCAATGAGCCAGACAGTCCTATCGTTAAAGCAGCCAAAATTGTAACTGATGTCTTACTTCGCTTTATTGGGTAAGAAGTGTTTTTCTGTTTCAGAAGTGCTAACAGCTAGTAACAGCTAGGATTTCTTTT